TATTTACGTTAGAACGTAAACTAGTGTTCGAAATGCACACCTAATAAATCATCGATTTGCAAATGTTCAGACCTATTCATGCATATTCGTCACAACACAAGGCAAATCCGCTGTTGAACTTTGTAAACCACTAAGATGAAACCTTCGCTTCATCTTAGTGGTTCTTAAGCCGCATCAAAAATACCATTGGCGTTAATTGATACCACAAAACGGCCGTGCTTGGCAAATAATTTCCTTCTTTTAAATGTTTTCCTTCACCGTTGTCCAAGCAATAAGTCAGCACTTCAAATTAAAAATTTCATTGGTGCCGGCATCGTTATTTGAACTCCGGTTGCTCGAGTATTTCAAATTAAAAGCGCCCGGGCATTGAGCTATTTAAATCTAATTCGCCATTTAATGTCATTTAATGAAATAAACATCGGCCAATTGTATTAATAGTATAGTAATTGCCTAGTGCGTAACTTCGATCTCAGGACATCAGCGCGGCCCGGCGCGGCGTTGACTAAAATCCCGCGCAAATGTTTAAATTCGCAATCACTTAACGCGCAATATCTCCGCACGTCGAAGGGAGCGCCGGTGACGCTAAATATTCAGCAATAATCGAGCACGCGCTAAATTACGTGCCGACAAATAAAACACGCCTCGGATAACACGGCGAGTTATAGCAACGCGTACCAGCTAAGTGCTTCGCGCACTAACTACGGAGTTATGTTACAATTTAATCTAGGACGGTTTTAGCGCTCACGGCACGACCACGCGACGAGCAAGGCGCCGTCTAAAGAGGCCTCGAGGCTTGAAATATTGAAATGCGTAGTAGTTAGACTTAGGTTAAAATAGGATTACAGTTTCGAAATTATGTTTTAGTATAATATAATGTAATCTAGCAGTAGTCAGTAATTTGGTATATATGTCAAAGAGTAATAAGAACTTACTTGGCTTTTACCGAAACTATAATTTTGTTACAATAAAAATATTTAGTAAGGTGCGTTGTAATTTGAATCCAATGAAGTTTATTTAAATTTTTAATTAATTTGAATTTTATTGTTTGTGCTTTCTTTTTACTTATTATTACAATAACAACCACGCCACCCCAGTTCAAATCCCGATGATTGTACAATGAAATTTTCAATTGCAATTTTATGCTGATTTAGCGCGGGCAGCGGTGAAGCAAAAGACTGTGCCACCCAAGAAAGGGAATAAAATAGGACCTTATTACTGAGACTCCGTCTGTCCGTCCGTCACCAGGCTGTATCTCATGAACAATGATAGTAAGACAGTTGAAATTTTCGCAGATGATGTATTTCTGTTGCCGCTACTCCAACAAGTATGTACTAAAAACAGAATAAAAATATTTAAGCGGGGCCCCATATAAGAGACATGACTTTTTTGCCGTTTTTATAGGGAAAAATTCAGTTAGCTTATTGTAAAAAAATATATCGAAAAAAATATGTCGAAAAGTAAGTAATAACAATTTGCTTATCGATTCAACTTGTTTCTTCTTTATGTCTGTTAAGATTTATGCAATTGAATTTATTTGTATTTTAACCAACTTCTCCGTAAGGATATGCAAACAGGCAAACTTTAATGAAGTATAAACGACAAAATACAACATACATGAAACGATTTAGTTAAACATGTTAGTACAGTTGACAGTATTATCCAGACGATATCGCCGGCGAATGTTCCGTAGGAATTTATGTGAGGGACGAAATTAGAGAGCGAGCTGACAAATAATTAGGTACCTAACACCGTTCTAGAAGTTTCCAGCAGAAGTTGCGGCACGACTAAGTGCGGCGCTAAAATTAAAGCTAAACGATCTTTCGGGCTGAGCGTTTAGGAAGACTGAGATCAATTTGATGACGCTGGGGTAGGAACTGCGTAATAAAAGGCACTAGGATCTCATTTAATCTCTTACGGCGGCTCTGTTGCACGCGTGTTTTTGTAATAAACGCTCGGTTAACCCTCGATTTACTGCCCTGCTCGGGCCACAGGCGGGTTCCTCTTACAACGCTAAGCGCATTACAACTTGACATAATCTAATAACCAAACAGCGCATCCCGGAGTGATTAGAGGGTTGACTGGCGGCGTTCCTTGTCGCGACGCGTCTCGGCAAACAATCGTAGCGTGTGTGTTTTTGTGATTTGCCACGCCGTTAGTTGTGACGACGTAACAAGGTTGACTTAATAATCGCTCGGGTTAAGCGTACGCGCGACGCTCAGCCGTTTGGATGGAACAACGACTTACTTAACTTCGCTTAGCGTCACACCGTACGTCGATGTGGTATTAAGGCAGCTAGAGTTTAACAGCTTCGACCGACTCCTTTGCTTAAATGCTCGAAGACCGTGTCTAACTTTGATTTTATTTCCTGATCTGAATAAAATACATTATTCAAAATAATAGTGCGCCGGATACATTTAGTAACTAAATGCGATAAAGTCTATATTAAATGAAACTACTTTACCGCGGTTTTTATTTTAATTTAAATTCCCGACGTTTCGAACCCTTTCCAGTCTAAATCTATCTAGCGATAAAGTCTATTAAATAATTTATTTAAAACTTGTGGTTCTAGCGTAAAGTTAAAAAATCATTATAGCTTGTATATTGGCACGAAAAAGTTATGTTTTTACCCGACTGCGAGAGAAGGAGTCTTATGTTTTTCGAGAGTATGTATACATGTACCACTGGTGGGCAAAGGCCTCCTCTGTACAGAGAGTATCAGGGCTAGACCACCACGCGGCCACACTTCTTATATCTTCGATTTTTTTTTAATTATTATTTCGAAAATATGCAGGTTTCCTCACGATGTTTTCCTTCACCGCTAATCACGAGATAATTCGGCACTTAAAATTAACAATTTCAACAGGCTGCTCGAGTATATTGAATTAAAGGCGAACGCCCGGACACTGAGCTATCACGACTCTACTACTACATGTATGTATGTATAATTGTTTGACACAGTCTGTATCCTGGACGGCTTGATGTATTTTAGCTTGTGAGGCTTGTAAGAGAGAGTTTATAAAAATTATAAATTACACTGAAACGCAATCGCTTTTTTAGTTTTTTAAATTATATTCTATTTGTTGACTTTCACGGTGGTAGGGCCACGCAGCAGCCTCGGCTGTTGCACGAGTGGGCGGGCTCGTCTGGGTAAGTACCACCGGGTAAGTGAAGTATAATACTTTCGCGTTTCGTCTGGTGAGTGAGGTGGCCGGAGCCCAATTTTGAAAAGGTTTTCAACGCATCTAGAACCCTCGGGTATAGCAGATGTCCATGGGTGGCGGTATTCACTTAACAACAGGTGAACCGTCTGTTCGCTTGGCAACTTTTCACATAAAAAAATGGTGACTACTCATAAAAAAATTAATAGCCTCGTACGTGTGTTTGTAAAGACGGTGTTATTATATTATATATGTGTAGTTCTATAATTCGATGCAATACATACCTATCTATTCTAACATTTACGTGGCTAAGAAATTTTCACATAGCGATTTATCTGGATAGAAGAAATCGTATAAGTATAAATTTCATTAGTGTCGCTAACATCTATAAGTTTTCACTACATAGTATAAAACAAAGTAGTCCCGCTGTCTGTCTGTCCGTCCCTATTTATGTATGCTTAGATCTTAAAAACTACGCAACGGATCTTGATGCGGTTTTTTTACTAGATAGAGTAGGGAGGCAGTATCAAGAGGAAGGTTTAAATTTGTAATACGTTGCACCCGTGCGTAGCCAGGGCGGGACGCTAGTATTACGATAAAATCGGCACAGGGACGCCTTACGCCCTATACGCCTTAGCTGAGTAGACAGTTTCTCTACCGACTCATACCCCACGCTAGTCGCCATCACATCTGATGAAGGGTCAGAAGGGTCCAACATGCTCGGTCTAGACTCGGGGTACTAACCCCATCATATGGGATGATGGTGACTCGAAATGATTTACTTATAAAACGTTAACCAAGGGTTAAAAGCATCGCAGAGCATTAAACTATTAAACTCGTAGTACCTATCATGAAAAAACTTTTCCGTAACTACCACCGCACTTTACTATCAAGTACTAAAGTTTAAACTTTTCCGCTTATAAGATCGAGTATTATTTTTTATTAAGTTACATGAATCCTGGCTCAAGGTTAGATAGTCGTTTTCGAACTGTGGAGTGTAATTGTTCTGACATGTTTATTTTGGTTGTTTCCTTGGGATATACACACCATATTAGAGAGACAGTGCTGAATAATGATTTATTTATGTATCACGTATACACAAAAAAGAAAAATCGTTTTTAAAAACAGAAAAACGTAATTGCTGTTTTTTTTTTCTTTAACAGCGAAGGCTCTTTTGAACCGGATTGTTATTTCAATTATTGTTTGACATGTAGTTCAAAAATATTTGTTTTTAATTTTAACGACCCCTATACAAGCTGCCATTGATATATTTTTGAAACATTCAAATTTCGAACGTCATAAATCAAAATCGTAACTCGTCCGGAATCTGTCCTGGCCGGGGGCGCTATCTCGGGCGCTCTCGCTACGTAAAAGGCCGTGTCGAGTGACGCCGAGATAAGTCCATGGTGGGCCACCGCAAATAGCTTTTGGGGAACGCATTAACTTTTTGTCTCGTCCGTCTATGACGCTGCGAGCGCTGCGCTATCGTACTTCAGGGGTGGCCAACAAAGGGTTGACAAGAACTTAGAAAAAACTTAAATGATACCGCCGTGATATACGAACAATTGGGACCTTACACTATGATCTAATAAATAAGAGCTTGGTGTAATAGTTCAAGCTGTGATAGACGCGGTAGCTTCTACTCTATGGAAGGAGTAGAAGTTACAGAAGTGACTTTTTTTTAATTTTTTTTTTAACCGAAAAACTCTTTAAGATTAGGAACACACCAAAAGAATACGGATTTTTGTAGCCGTCCGTTTATAAGTTATTAATATGGTATAAAACGAAAACGCTGAGTAAATATATACTGCACACCTCCTCTTCCTTCCTCGGACTAAGCGTATGTCCATAAGTGGGTTGCTTTTTATTTTAAAGATTAAAAGTAGATATTGTGTCCGTAAAAGTTGACCGCCTCTGCCATACATCATCCGTTCTTTATCGAAGCCCGTTTTGCTCCGATGAGTCAATAGGCTAATTCGAGAACTCGTGCTGTTGTAGATAATCCAAAGTTATGTACCCGATGATGGCAAAAAATGAGTAACAGACTGCATACGTCCCATTGTTTATTTATGAGTGTTCCCAGTATCGTAACTGGCAACTTTGAGCTGCCGCGTTAAAAAAAGTTAGATGCGGCGATAAAAAGTTAATAAGTGACAACTTATGTCATACGACCCTGCTGCAGACGTATCTTGAGAGGTTATTGTAATAAAAAATATATGTTATATCTTTTCTTAATTCAATTATTTTTTTAAGTTTATTTCAAAGTAACGTCGTTGGCTACGTGTGAAGAAAATGAACATTTAATGTTACCTAATATACTTTTCTTTAATCTATTTCATGTATTGTTATTTTGATTCTTCAAAGAACAAAAAAATAATTGATAATTTCCGATAGTTTAAGCTCGCTCCACCATTGACAACGATTATAGCGAACGTAACATCGCCAATAAGCTTTCACGTTCGTACCTCGTTGCGACAGGTTCGCAAGCTCGCGCGACAAGTTCGCTGCTAACAGGCCGTCATGCGAGCGTGTACGCACACTGCTGGAGACGCGCGCGCGAAAACATAAAGCGTCAACGCGCGTACTCAAAGAAAGTCCCGTGCGTTATTATTAGCCTGTGCAGTGCGTACGAACAGGATTCAGAACGAACGCCCCGGGCCTATCGATGCGCTGCTCAAAAAGCTAACCCGTCCCGCAAGAAAAGGACGGCGGCCGAGCACGTGGGAAGTGGATTCCGAACGCACGCATCCCGCCCGCCCCGCCGCCCCCACCCCCTCCCCCAACGAGCGGTCCCGGCGCCGCGCGCACTCCAGTCGCGCGCCGACCGCCGAGACGGCAACAGGGTTTTAATAAACCTGTATCGGTTCCCCGAGCATCCGCCCAGACGTTGTGCAGTGACCGAGTTGGGACGCACGCTGTGATTCTGTTTTAGCCCGAGTGCGCGGCAACGTTTGTGCACGTTTTGTGAACGGTGACGTAGTTGTGTTTTGGTGCACTATGCGGTTGTACGTTGCGTTATGAATGGTCTGGAACGCTGCTTCTTCGATCAACGTGAGTGTTCGCTGTGTATTTACTTGTTTTGATTTGTTATTTATCCGCGTTTCGTTCCCGGTGGTCTTCGTGCGGTTGTTGGGAGAGGTCGCAATGCGGCTGGTGCAGATTTTCAGTCTGTTTCTTAGAATTTGACTAGGCATAGTGAGATTTAATACAGATAGTTTAGTGTAATAAGTTTAGACATTCGACGATAACTTCGATAACTTAACCGGTAAAACTTTAGGAAGTTATGTATTTGTTTAGACGAAATGTTTTAACCATTAATGATTACCGTGACATTTTCAGTTAGTTTTTCCTCATTCAAATTCCATTACGGTAATAAGACTATTACTTCGTAAGCTTTGATTACATACTTGTCACGCTTTTCATAAATATGACTACGTGCATAATTAATCATTTTCTACATTTTAAATTATTCTTATTTCACTTATTTCCATAATCATTATTGTAAACAATGTTAAAATATGAAACGAATAACGACTGAAAAGTACCGATAAATTAAATGTTAATACTAGGTACGTACTTCTGTATCGCCTTATGGAGCTAGCTTATGTGCGGTATTTGAAAAATATTTATTTTTCAATTACCGCATATATACATAAAATATATCTGATTTTGTATAAATTTACCCACAATTAGTAATTACGGGAATGCGATATCAGTTTCGATGCGATAGCTTTCGTACTAAAGCAATTTCCGAGTAGCAAGCACTGCGGATAGCTTCGGAAACTGGATAATAATCACGCGGGCAAGCAAACAAACAAGGAAGCAAACAACCGGGCCGCTGTTAGAGATCGGCAGCCGTAAAACTGGAAACATCTGTATTGGTTTAAGATAAACGAGCCTTAATGAGCAGTCACTGACGGTTCGAGTTATATTTTGTTAAGATTACTGCTACGTGCAGGCCGGGAATGAAGTGGTTAAATAAATTGATGACGATTTGTTCAATTAAGGCGATAAAGGGACGGTTGGCCAGTAACCAGTTAGGAGTTCACGGGGAAGTTAGGAAAGATGTCCATTATGGATTATGGATAAAAATGTTAGCCTAGTCTTTAGTTACCAAAGACCAGAAATTTCGCATGGTATTAATAAAACAATTATAAAATGCTCTTTCTGAAAGCGAAATAGTTGTTGTGGTAAATTTAAGATTTAATTAAGTAAAGATGAATTGTTGGTATTTAAAGAATATCGTGTAAGGTGATGCAATAAATTTATCAAAATATGATAAGGCATAGAAATCTTTTTATATTAATTATTTTCTGAAATTATGTAAATCTTAAGAGATATTTTAATGTTATTCAAACACATGTCTATGTCTGGGTAATTCATACGATCATTTATCTCATTCTGAACACTGTTACGAGCTGTTCAGTACTCCGTCTTTATTTAAAAAGGATACTTTGGATAATTAATACACTTTTTCATGCCATTTTGAGCATAAAATTAGATCAAATCGAGTGCGCATTGCCAATTGATCGCTGCGACCAAAATCGATATGAATTTTAATCAAATCGTCTAGATTCGTCTTTTTATATTAAAGTGGGTAAAGTTTACCTTCTAGTTTATGAAATAAGTTTGTATTTTAAAACGAGAAAATTTATTAATATTAATTTAAATGGTCATATTTATAAGGGAATAGAAATACGGCTAAGATTTATAGATTCTTTGATGTGAAAATTGTTTCGAAAAAATTAAGTGGAACAATATTCGAAGCACAACTCCTTAGAATTAAAATGAGTGCACTTATCATCTCAGTCCTAACCAGCCGCTAAAATACCAGTTAATATATTTAAATACTAGCTTTTCGCCCGCGGCTTTGCTCGCGTTAAAGCCCTTAAATAAATATCTTTCAACCCTTTACAACACTTTTTTCCAATTAAAAAATAGCCTATGTCCTTTCTCAGGCTATCTGTGAACCAAATTTCATTTTCTAGACTATCTGTGTACCAAATTTCATTTAATCATCGGTTCAGTAGTTTTGAAGGTAAAGCGAGACAGACAGACGGACAGAGTTACTTTCGCACTTATAATATTAGTATGGATAAGTAAGCACCTAGTTAAAATTTAGTATTTGCGTCCAAAAATCCATGAAAAAAATGCCTGGATTCGTATCCTCGATCTATCAAGCATAGTCTCAGCCCCTGGATTTCAAAGTCATCTGCGTCGCCAGTCTTCCGTTTACAAAATCCTCGTGCAACATACGAAGATCAAAGCGAGACCAGCGCGCGCCGCTCTCAACGCGCATAAACTAACAAACTGTTTAAGAATTCATAAATCAATTTATAGCACTGATTACAAAATGAATCATCACGGCACATTCCAACTATTTGTTTACGCGGCGATGTAATTAGTTAATTAATTTTTCCCCTCGTTCGCCATCGACGTTTAATATTTATTCCGGGCGTTTATTGACGGTTTAAAATGTTGGCAACATTCGACAAACATGGCCGCGTTTAAAACAACGAAACGGAATGTTTACGGTGCTGTCGCGTTCGACGAATTTAAATTGTCGCCAAGATAAAATTTAAATTATAACTTTTGAATTCGTTTCCTTGAATATATTTAAAACGGCTTATAGTATTTAAATACCTATGCGAACGTACCTATACGTATATTATAAGCTTCCATGTGTTTTTTTATTGAGTAATAATGTACAATTCGGAGTATAGCGCCACCTATCGCAAGGGGTTGAAAAAGTCCTTAGTTCAAGTTCTTCCATATAGCGTATTAAGACCTAATTTGAACCACTTTGAACACAAATAAGACATAAAAATATTTAATGCGAAAAAATTTGCGAACAAACTGTAATAAAACTAATTCAAAATAAAAGTAGTATCATAGTCATATGTTATTATTATATATACGATGAAATGACCCATTTGATATTTTTCCCTGTCCATGTCCCTGAGATGTTTGCAATATAAGCTATTATGCACTGTATATCGTTTGATTGCTTTGTCAGATGTCGTTCTAGGCTGTAGCTATCTAAATATATCGTTTGCCTCCTTTTTCAATTTAACAAATATGTATATATATATATATATATATATATATAAACCATAAGATACGCACGACCGTTCGCTATGAAGCTGACCGAATGAATGAATGAATCGTGAGAGAATGACACGCAATTTCATAACCAATTCACCGGTCCATTGAGATTTACAAAGCAACAAGATTGCGGTTCACTGTCTCCATTTTTTTTAAACACGGTAGACATATTATTAATATCACCCCTGTGACTGATGTAGATTTATGATCTAAGGTCACCCGTTCTATTTCTTTGATGTGCGCATATAGTTGGATGACTCCGTGGCGCAGTGGCCAAGGTATTGGCTTCGGCGTCGGGGGTCGTCGGTTCGATTCCCACACGGAACCAAGATAGTTGTTGTGCATTTGGGTGTTTTTTTTCGAATAACGTTCCGCTTAGCTTTGGTTGGTAAAGTGTCTGGGAGCGAAACTAGATGATGCAGGTTCGAAACGAAATTTGTCGTTCATTTAACTACAAAAAAATTACAACTTAAGAATAACCTTCAAGTTGAGACTATTTGACTTATCACTGTCAAGATGAGGGTCGAGTGAAAATCGTTTCGGAGTTTCGAAATGCGAGATGGACCACAGATACATGCTATTTTATAAAATCGGCCATTTTATTTGCTACCAGTCCGTAAGTGAGTTGTTCAAGTTATACGCCACTATATATTTACTTGAGGCTGTTGCATTAGAATTGACAGAGTGAATACGTGCCGTGTGATTTTTGACAATACTTGCACGTGAATTTAAACCTGCGCAATATAGTCGCCTACGAGCATACAGTTCTTTATTCGGGATGCTTGATTGTAAATAAGGGAAAGTAGCAGCCTATGCCCCACTGCTGGGCAAGGGCTTTTGTACAGATGGTGCTAGGGCATAGTTGACGACCCCACTGTCGACCGATGTTGATGCCGATTGACGGACTGCATATTTCTCCGAAATATTTTGTAATAGATTAATGTTGTTATTATTATTTATTCCGTAACATAATAACTTGATAGCTCAGTCCCGAGGAATCAAGTTAAAATCTCTGCGTGAGTACACATTAACGCACACACGTGTTTCACGAATTCGTAACACCTACGGTTTGGAAGCGAGAAAAAATATTTTTAATATCTTGAAAGTTTTTAAAAAAATGTTTCATACCAACAAATCACTTTTTGTTAGACTAAAAAAGTTTGCTTGTGTATGGCCCATCAGCAGAGTAGAAGTCGAAAGCTCTAATCCCAGTAAGTGTACCGATTGGTATTCTGTTATCTGGATTTGTCACCTGAAAAATCAATCACATTCGTGACCGGTTAAACTCGGAAAGAGTTCGAACATTAGCTGTCCCTTAGCTCCACGCAGACACGTCAATTAGCACTTAACCAGTTAAACTAATAAAAAAAGCAAGTCTTAAAGATTGCACTTCACACATAACTGAATTTAAAAACAGCTAAGCCGTAGTTGGTGACTCCGAGTGCGACCGTCTGTATGCCATTAGTTACGTATTAAAGATATATTAGTATGTACGATAATAATTGGTCCGGGTCATGAAAACGTGTAGGCATGTGGCGCCTACAGAATTTCTAATTCCATTTGTTCGCAAGTTCAACGCACTCCAAATTATGTTAATGGCTTTATTTATATGTTTGTAAACAGATACCATAGCGTCCATTGATACGAGCTTTACGTAATTTCGATTGAATTCGTAATAAACTGTTCCCATTGATAAGGATTTTTCCGTAAATGCTAGAAGCTATTAGGCGCTGTTTTGTTCGGAACAGCAACTTGAATAGGCCAGGCTAGGATGCTTAATGAAAAATCGTTTAAAAAGAGTAACGCCAGCCCC